CTCCACCTCCACGTCCTCCTCCTCTTCAGTTTTTCCATCCACCCCATCTCCCATCCCCTGTCTGTTTATACTTGGCCTTCTTCCCCAGACCTCTGCCTCTCCCTTGTCCCCCGCCCCAAGGCAGAACCAGAACTAGCAGCTTCAAGACAGCAGCTGCCAGGACTCTTCCTGAGAGGGGCCTTCCGTTAACCTAGGGACCCAGCAGGCGTCACAGGGAGCGTCAGTTCCAAGTGGCAGGCCCATCCCCATGTTAGGATGAAGTCTGCCGGGTGGAGTCCCTTCTGAGGCCACCGGTGCCACGCACCCTGGCTGTCTACCTCAGATTCTCCTTCTCATGTGTCTCCTGCTGGGCCAGAGTAACAAAACCACAACCCAAATTACATTACGAGTCATTGTGTTTTATCTTAGAAATACACAAAGACTTGAGGTTTTAGCTTTGATTTTTCTAGACATCTCTAGTAAGTGGAGTTGCTGCTCCAGGAGACACTGTTTTGTGAGAAGGACCCTAACTTGGAATAGCACCTAGCCTGGCAGCATTTCTGAGCAGGTTTTGACTTCCTCGCTCACAGGCTCCTGTGGGCTGTGTAGCCTGCTCAGAACCTTCATGCTGTACCTGGGCGGGCGCCTTGCTGCCCTGGCTGAGGCAGCTAGACCGCTGGCGCGTCGGTGCCCCCTAGCGGCCAGTGCATTAGCCATCCATGCGGCCGTTTTTGCTGCTCAGACGAGCCCTTGGATGGGAACTGAAGCTCCCCCTGGAGCCGCCTTTCCTCCAGCAGGCGCCTTAGAACAACCCCTTGGCCACTTTTGAGGTGGTTCATAACCAGTTCTCCTGCTAGCTGCCTGCTTATTGAGCACTTTTAATTTGTGGGTAGAAGGAAAAGGAGGTACCCAGGGGTCCCCAAGGGCATCCTGCTCCCGCCTTTGGGGGCTGGGTGGGAGCACCCAAAGGGGCTGCAGGCTTGCGCCAGCCGGGCTTCCCCTAAGGGCCGGCTGCCTGTTGTGGGCAGCGCTGGGTGGCCGCAACCCTCCACCTGGAGTGCGGGCTCCGCTGCTGACCACGCTTGTTCTGCTTAGGACTGGGCGAAGCCAGGCCCCTATGACCAGCCGCTGGCGAACACCCTGCAGCGCCGCAAGGAGAAGCGGGAGCCCGACACCAGTGGGGGTGGACCTGGCACCGGGGGAGGCCCGGTGGGGGGTGAGGAGGCGCAGAGACCACGCAGTATGACCGTGTCGGCTGCCACCAGGGTAAGCACTCCTCTCCCCAGCAGGTGTGTGTGTGGGGGGGTCACTGAGTCCCGGCCGGCAGCTGGGACCGGTGGGGCACGTACAAGTCCGAGGGAGTCTGGAGTTGGGATTTTGATCTGGCTGCAGCCACGGGGCCTGAGCAGGAAGCAGCCCAGGTGCGGAGGGGCAGGGGCTGGCAGGGGTCTGGGGACATCACATGGTCTCACACCCCGGTGGTTGCCTCTCCTCTCTACCTGCAGTCTGGGGAGGAGATGGAGGCTTGTGAGGAGCTGGCCCTGGCCCTGTCCCGGGGCCTCCAGCTGGACACGCAGAGGAGCAGCCGCGACTCGCTGCAGTGCTCCAGCGGCTACAGCACACAGACCACCACGCCGTGCTGCTCCGAGGACACCATCCCCTCCCAAGGTGGGCAGCCGTGCGAGGGCCAAGCTGTGTCCCCTGACTGCACTGTAAGCCCTGCCAGCAGATGGGCTCGGCTGGCAGCTGCACTCGGTGCACTGCACCTGGAATCCCAGCTCCCGGGGACGCGGCAGCCAGGGGGTCCCAGCCTCAGAGGCATGGCGGCTGAACCCAGACCCTGCCTCTAAGAAAAGGTTCGGGCTGGGAACGTAGCTCAGCGCTCCCTGGGCTCAAGCCCCAGTATGAATAAAAAAAGGAAAACTGTGTGAGGGAGATAGATAGGGGAGAGGGAGGGAGGGAACGTTTAGAGAGCTGGGCTGCAGGAGTCGGAGCTGCCACAGAAGTCGCCTTTTCAGGCCTGGTGGCCCACACCTGCCATCCTAGCTAGTCAGGAAGCTAAGGCAGGAGGAGTACAAATTCAAGGCCAGCCTGGGCAAGGCTTTAGTGACATAAAAGTAAACAGTGTGGAGATGCAGCTCACTTGTAGAGTTCCTCTTAGCTCTGGTCCCATTGGCACGAAAAGAACAGCAAGAACTGGTCTGGGCCTTAGCGTCTTTCCCACTGCAGTGAGCACGTGTGCTCCTCTCGTGTGCCTCTTGTCCTCTCGGCTTTGGAAAGCAGAGCTTCTGCCATGGCTGTGTCTGATCAAACCCTCCCCTCAGTTTCAGATTATGATTACTTCTCCGTAAGTGGTGACCAGGAAGCAGAGCAGCAGGAGTTTGATAAATCCTCTACCATCCCAAGGAACAGTGACATCAGCCAGTCCTACCGACGAATGTTCCAAGCCAAGCGCCCAGCCTCGACGGCCGGCCTCCCCACCACCCTCGGACCTGCTATGGTCACCCCGGGGGTCGCAACCATCCGGCGGACCCCTTCTACCAAGCCTTCTGTCCGCCGGGGGACCATAGGAGGCGGTCCCATCCCCATCAAGACCCCAGTGATTCCTGTCAAGACACCAACAGTCCCAGACCTCCCTGGGGTGCTGCCAGCCCCTCCAGATGGGCCAGAGGAGCGGGGTGAACACAGCCCCGAGTCACCGTCCGTGGGCGAGGGCCCGCAGGGCGTCATGACCATTCCCTCCTCCATGTGGAGTGGCCAGGCTGCAGTCAACCCTCCACTCCCAGGCCCAAAGCCAAGTATCCCTGAGGAGCACAGACAGGCAATTCCAGAAAGTGAGGCTGAAGACCAAGAAAGGGATCCCCCAAGTGCCAGCGTCTCCCCAGGCCAGCTGCCAGAGAATGACCCTGCAGACCTGAGCCCGAGGGATACCCCGCAGGGAGAAGACATGCTGAATGCCATCCGCAGGGGTGTGAAGCTGAAGAAAACCATGACAAACGACCGCTCTGCCCCTCGCTTCTCTTAGGCTCCCAGTGGAGGATGGACTCTAATTAATAAAACCTAATTTGTCTTGATCCATTCCAGTCTATAATCAAAAAATTTTGTAGGCAATTCAGAATTCAGCTCTTTTGAAAATACTCAACATATTTAGATAAGAAAAGCAAAATATGTAACTGACATAATCTTGATCTTTTAATTTGTAAATATTGACACTTTTCTCCTGCACATTTTAATCTTAGTTTCCCTTTTGATTTTTCTGAAGGTGCCAAATTCCATTTAACTTTTTTATAAGTCTTTGTAAAATTTTAAATGCATAGGGGGGTGGGCTGGGGCAGGGGAACCACAGAGTAGTTAATTTCAGAAAAGGATTACTATACTTCGTTTTTTCTCATCCCAGCCCCTGCAAGCCTTTGTAGATGCTTTGTAGTAGTCTAGCTTAGAAGCAAATTCAAGTTATTTTAATGTACAAACAAAATGGGTAAGGGGTAAAATTCTCATTTAAATATACTATGTTCTGGATAAGAAAAGCAAGACTAACCACTGAACAATATTCAGAGAAGTACATCTGAAAAAGGTAGACTGCTGGGGGGAGGGCGTGGGAGGGCACTGTCAGCGTAGCCGATCCTGCTACCTTTAAGGTTGAATTTCTGTAGCCCTGTAGGTTGAGTTTCTAGTAGCTTCATGGTAAATGCATCCAAATAAGCCATACTGGATTGCAGTGTTTTGTTTCTGTAGGGTGTTTAAGGACTCCTTCCTCCCACAGTTCCTCGTGACTGCACACAGCACCCACCACAAGTCCCACGCATGCCACCGCCACCGCAGATAGAGGTAGAGCCCCCACGTTAGTTTGTCTACTGTGCTCACGTTCACTGAATCCAAATACATCTGAGAGGGTAAGACAGTTTTTTGAAAATGTGAAACACTAAAACACAATAGCAGGGAATTCTTAGATGTAGCAAATGCCTTTTACTTAACTGTGCCCAGCAGGCTGGGTACACTGAAAAGCCCACATATTTTGAAAAAAACTTGAGTGGATTTATCAAGGGTGACCAGCTTGGAGTCCAGCGACTTGCCAATGTGCTTACCAATCTGGGGGCTTGTTTTTCTTATCTTCCGTAAATAAATGGCAGTGAATTGGCTTCATAGGAGGATATGATGGTCACTGGGAATCCAGCCACTATACTGTCCCTTTTATTTTGCATTTTAGGCAGTGTTTTTTGGGATGGATTTGTCTTAAGTGGAAGTTGAATTTGTTCTAATGCCCGTCCCCTAAAGTCAACAGAGATTTGTAGCTTGAGAGGGGCCATGTTTGGACCCCTGGCTTAAGGAAGCAAGCAGGCCCCCCCAGCGGGCAGTGCCGACCGCGCCCCTGGAGGGTGCCTGGGTCCCGCCTGCTCTGCACATTTCTGTTGGCTCCAACCCTCATGACGTATCTTCTGCTTCCCCACCCACTGCACTGGATGTGAGTAACGTACCTGTACAGTCACTGTTCTGTATATTAACACTTAACACTGCTGTGATTGCTCAAGGACATTTTATGTTACGGCTTTCAAGCAAGGCATGATTATTAGAAACTACTTAAGCTTTTTCCTTTGAAAAACAAGCTCCTTTAACAGACTATAAGCAACAGTAGTGCCTGTGGTTTAGCCCACCAATCTTGATGACTACAAGTAGCTGATGCATTGTGCATATGATGCTTGAGATGGTTTTTGCAAAAGCAGAAATCGTAGCAAGGTGATTAACAATAGATAAAGTGGTATTTTAAACCTTCAAAATAAATGGATGTAACTGTACGCTGGTACAGCTTTTCACTTGTTTAGTTTTTAAACGTTAGTATAATCTGAATAAATATAAAATGTTGCCAAATTCAGCGTAGAGAATGTGACAAAACACCTTGGATAGTTCTGTGTTTTTGCATACTGTAAAAGCAGTGTCACAGGTAAAACAAATCCTTTCTAAAGGTAAACTGTGGTTTAGTTGCTAGTTTGTACTGAGAGTTGACCTCTCCCTGTGCAGTTTTTTGTTCTGAACTTGTATAAATAACAGTTGTGTAATGTGTCTCCCTTCTACATTGTAACAGTGCTTCAGCCTACATTATAAATAAAGAACCACTAGAAAAAAAAAAAAGCTGTGCATTTAAAGTCATATTAGTTTGAGGTCTTAGGCAGGAATCAAGGTGGACCGAGACTCAAATAGAGCTTGCTTAGAAAACGGACACACTCTCTATTATGAGGCCTAAGAACAAGTGTTCCCTAAATTAGGATTTTGAAAACAGTTCTAATGGGTTACCAAGTACTAACAGCAACCAGTTTTGGTTGTTTTCAAAATCAGTTCTTACAACAAAGACCCCACTTGTGTTATACTGAGTCTACAGAATTCTTTTACTGTGGAGGAAGCAAAGCTGGATAGCTGGCCCCAAAGGACACGAAGTGTCATTAGCCCATCTTTCCCATTCAGCTTCAACCCTGACAGAATGACGCTAGCTTCTTGCCTCTCCCAGGACCCAGGGAGGCTGAGGCACGACTGCAAGTTTGAGCCCAACGTGGGCAATTCAATGACTTAGTGAGACCCTATGTTAAAGAATTGGGGACCTAGCTCCGTGCAGGGGCCCTGGGTCAAATCTGCACCAGCACAGAAAGGGAATGATAAAACACTGCAACCTCATTCAACCCTTAGAAAACCAGAAGGGCACTGGAATCTTCAGGATTTCTCTCTTGAGTTTGTCTTTGTTCTGGTCATTACGGCCAATTGCACTCTCCACTTAATGGTGCAGTACATGTGTACCCTTTCGATAATGTGCTGTCAGTGTGAATTACCACACATTTGACAAGAAAACGACGACAGGACCGAGTCGCGCAGCACCACAGTGACGCTCAGAAGAACACCTCAGTCACAGCAGACCATGGTGACTTTATTAGGGCAAGTAGATTTCACTTGCAAGGAAGAACGTGAGGTGCCTGTGTCACTCTACATGGGCCGCTCCCGGGGTCTGGTCACAATATGCCACCACAGTGGGGGCAAATCACCTTCCTTTCTGGCAGGAGGCAGAGCTTCGGTCTTGGGACCATCAGGTGGAGTTTCCTCCTGCAGCTGCTTAACCTGGAAAGGGATGAGGGAGGCAAGAGTATCAAAGGCACGTTGCTGAACCGTCGGCTGCTGCTGTGTGGTCAGTCTTCTTCCTGTGGTGTGTCCCCTCACACACAACCCCAGCTGCACTACTGAGGCACGTACTGCATACAGCTGGACGGTTTGCACACTCCAGTTTCATCAGAAGAGCTTTTCTCTCTTGGGCATACTGAAGGTCAAACCCAAGGCCTGTGCACTGAGCTACACTATAGCCTCTAGCCCCTACCCTCACCAGGCCTCACTAAGCTGCCAAGGCTGGGGTCAAACTTTTGATCCTCCTGTCTCAACCTCTCAGTGCTGAAATTCCAGATCTGTGCCACCATGTTTGGCAAATTTTCCAACTCTAAAAGGAGCAAAGCTGCAAACAACTACCCTCCCTTTTCAAACAGTAACACAATTCCACTTGTTGCAGTCCCCAACCACAACCATCCCCCCAAAAAAAGTCATTTATTCTCGTGTTCCCATTAAGAAACCTCAGTTGCTAAGTTTAAGGCCCCTTCTCATCCCTGATAGAAGCATGGACAAAAAGCAACAAAATCACCTGAAAAATAGGCTCAGTCTGCCTGACGCTGCCCAACCAGTCCCAGTTCTAGCAATTTCCAGGGTCACCATCCTAACAGCAGGAGACCTGAGAGCCCAAGCCCTTGCATGCAGGTGGGATGGCTAACTGCTGAGGAGGTGGAAGGCTTCAGAGAGGAGAGCGGCAGCAGTCAACCACAGCCCAAGCCTGCTCACCACGAAAAAACACTGCCGGCTCCTAACTGTTGTGACACTTCTTACCACAACGTGCCCCTTGGCCGTAGTGACCTTCCTTCCACTTCACCATGGCCAAGGTTTTCCAACGATTACCATCCGTAACTTTAACCACAAAATCAGCAGAGCTTCTAAACTAAGAATTCCCACGCTCGTGACCCAACCAACTTCTGCCCTTGCTGGGTCCTAGGAGCCCCAAGAGACTACAACTTACAAATCTTCCCTTCCAAGCTGACTTCCTGTCTGTCTTCCTTTGTTCAGCTTGGATTCCATGGTGATAATCATTCTCTAGAACAACCTCAGTCTCAAATACTGTGCATAGTGGGCACCCTCACCATCCGCCTGTAACCCAAATGCAGACAGACAGCTCAGGAGGAGATGCTGGAGCAAACTCCCGGCCTCAGGTGGACCTTCACTGCCACCCAGCAGCCTATTGTCCCCCTGCAGGCACATGTGTTCCCGTCACGTACGCCACACCTCTCCACACCACACATACTGCAGCTTCCTGTGGCCCTCAGACACTGAAAACACGCCATCACACAGCGCCAAAACATCCGACCCAAGCATATGCATGCAGTGCATGTCTGTCTACAACCGAGGAAGTCCTGCTCCTGTCTTTTCTCTCTTCTCCCTCCTAAGATCTCATTCACTTCTATGGCTTTATAAATGACCAAAACATACAGTTCGATTTCTCGACCAACTCTCTCCTTGGAGGTTCAGACTCCCATCTAAATTGCCGCCTCTATCTCAGACAGACAGGGCTCCCAAGCCTCGCGCTTCCAAGATGAGAGGCCTGACTGTGCTTCTGATGTTTGCTTCTTGTCGCCATGCTGGAGTTACTAACACCTGGCAACCGTTCTCGAGCCCTTGCTTGCCCCCCCACCCATCAATCTATTTCTCAAGACACTTGGAGACATCTACTTCCTGTCTACTACATCCAGTCCCACTGTTGCTCACAATAACAATAACCTTCAGCCTTAAGTAGCGCAATAACACAACAGGACTACTTTTCCTCATGCCTTCTGTATTTTACAAAAGCAAGTATTTATCAATGTAATGCCAACCACCAGATCACGAAAAATGCTTAATGCTCTAGGGTGGAGAAGGTTAAGGAACAGTAGGCTACAGCAAGACGGTCAGCCAAAAGACTAAGGTAAGGAAAACAGAAACAAAACTAGAGAACATCCTAGCTGAAAAGACTAGGCAACACATTTAAACTTATGTTACATGGAACACACTTGGAAACGAAAGTGGATCTGAGCAGCCAGGGGCCAGGGTAAGTGTCACGGCTGCGCTGGGGCCTCAGTGCCTGGAAGCAAGCGCTGCGCGCGCCGCAGTGATCCCAAGGAGACGCACCTCTCGATCCCAGCTTTCCATCCGCAGTTTCTTCCACTGCTCTCTCTTGGCAAAGTAGTCAGGATACATGGCCTTCTCGGAGGGGTGCCAGTAGTCCAGGCACCATTCAGGAAACTGCCAGGAGAGGAAATCATGACGTCACTCTACAGGATACACAAATACGCCACCGACCTGGTGCTGCTCAGGACAGAAGACAAAACTCAAGTTGTATTTTCATAATCACTTTGACTACCAGGCTGTTTCTGACTATAGGAAATAACAGCAGAGGCTAAGCAGGGATCAAAAATAAAGAATGGTGAGAGCCCACGGCAACAAACAGCAGTATCAGCCAAGAGACCACCCCCTCCTTCCCCTACTCCACCTTCAAAACACATGGGGTGGCTGGGGGTTATCTGGAAGCGTCACTTAAGAATATCTCAGGAATAGTAAGTACCACTCTCAACAGGTTTGGGTTTTAGGACTCCAAATTAGGTATTTCCAAGTAGATTATCACCTGGCTTTAACAAAGAGTACACTGCAAAATCCAGGAGCTGAAATTAGAAAGGTTTTAATGACATCTGGGAGAAAAAAACCTGACACCTGAAAAAAAAAAACCTGACAACTTAGAAAAAACACGTCCTGGCCACTCTTCACCGGGCACAAGTGCGCAAGGCTGATGTTTGTGCGTGAGGAACAAAGGCCATCTTTTGTGTCCAGTTCTCACTGTACTCCTCACCTACCTTGTAGCACTCGTATCTCTCGTATGAGGTCCCCCCAGGTGAGTCGGGGAAGATATACGGCTGTGGGTGCTGGCACTGCCAGAATTCTTCTTCCGCCGCCCTCAGAAGCTGGGTGGCCTTCATCATATCCCTCTCATTCCTATGTTCTTCAAACCGGGCTCTCAACAAACAAGCAAAGTACCGGTACTTGTCCCTTAAACCAAAGGATTCTGGAGATTAGAAATGTCATCCACTGACGTGGGGAGTACAGCACAGCCTGACAGGAGCTGCACTCCTACGAACTGCCAAGAGGGGCCGTGCAGTCTCCTGGCACATGCGCACGCTGCTGTGGAGCAGCCGCACCATGACGACTGCTCCCTCTGCATCCCTCCAAATACCGGCAGCAAGAAGCACTGAATTAAATACAGCCTGGCCGTTTCCTCCCTCTCTCCTTCAACAAAGGAAATGATTAAACCAAAATAAGGGAGTTAATAAAAGAGAAAAGCTATAGGAGCATTCAACATTTATTTATTGGTAACTCACTGAATTTCCTATCTTGTGCCGGGCTTGTGCTGAACTCTGGTGAGAGAGAAAAAAAAAGGGAGGTGTTTCATGGTACAAAGTCTTGCTCAGGTTACAGAGATCTAGGGTGGACTCCTGATGGTCACTGTATATTCTCAGGCAAACCACAGGCAGTTTGAAGGAACTGTGGGCTGGCTTCACATAGGATGCTGGGTGGTACGTGCCTGTAATCTCAGCACTAAGGAGGCTGAGGCAGGACAATGGTGAGTTTAAGACCAGCATAAACTATGTGGTGAGAATCCTATCTCCAAAACAAAACAAAATCAATTTAATCAGCCAGCTATTAGAAAATTGTCCTAACAAACCTTATGAACTAAAAAAATGTCAATATCCCACAACAAAAATCCACATCAGTTAGGGTGCTGAGTAAAGTCTATACCAAAGGACAAGGACCTAAGGTAGGCCTCTGTAATGACAATATGGGAGAAAGATATTTGGACCACTTATGAGAATGTGCCTGAATTTCAGCTTTGGTACTATGAGCTCTGGGGCACACTATGTAATGGTTGTACCCTAGGGTTCCTCCCTGCATGTTAGTGGATATCTTAAGGTCTTTGTGAAGATTCCATGAATTGAAACACATAAAAATACTCTTCACAAAGTACATGGTGCATCCCAAGTGTGCAATAACGGAACAAATTATTACACGGTGTTCTGGTTTGTCTGGAGGTCCCCCAATGCTTCCTCGGTCCTTGCCTCAATTTCTTCCTTCACTTCCCTCCGCAGTACTGTGCTCCCTGGTTCCATCCTAGGATCTCTGAAGTCTGTATGGTCTTTCGACACCCTCATTCGATTCTGGGACCTGAACTGCCACCTATGTTCATTTGGCTCTAGAGCTGTAGTTCCAATTGCTAAGTTCTTTCCCATGTGTCTTAAGAACTTTCTCCACACTGGGATAAAATAGCGAGCACTTACAACTCAAGAGGACTGGTTTATTCTGACTCATGTTTCCAGCCCACAGTGGGCTGGCTCCACGGCATGCAGGCTGGGTGGAAGAGTCCGGCAGAGGACAGCTGTTCACCTCAAGGCAGGTGGGAAGCAGGGAACAAAGGGAGGAGCCAGGGGCGAGATGTGCCCTCCCAGGCCACGCCCCACTATAAATTTCACCCCAGGATCAATCACCTCCCTAAAGCCCCATCTATCAATGCCTGCTCAGCGTGCCCCAGGGCGGGGGCAGAGGCAGGCCGGGGGAGCAACCCCCCCCACCCCCCCCGTGCGCTTTCCTCTGAGCTATTTGGCGGGCCCTGCTCTGTTTACTTGTGCACCCCCCCCCACGCATCCCTGAGCTGCTGAGGCTCTAAAAGGATTAACTTTGATTTATTTGGCATCACAGAAGCTGAATGCATATTCTGTGACATGAATGACCAGGGAAAACTTGAGAAAACTAAAGATCTCATAACACTACCTGGCCGTCTTCCTGCACAGTGAAGACAATGGCTGATCTGAGCTGTCTGCAAGGCTTAAAGGCTGACGCAGGTTTTCATCAGTTAGAGGTTTATTCTCCAGGTGTGTTTGTTTGTTTGTTTTTACCTAGGGCTAGCTTTTGGAATTCTGACAGGCGAGCAAAGGTCTGACAGTCACACATCGTGGATTGTCTCCCATAATGCACTGCACTTGGACCACAAAAATTTTTAACACTATGTTCTAGGGCCAGTTTTGGATAAAGGGGGAAAGAATTATGTGGGTGGTGAAAAAGCGATTAGAAAGTAATGACAACTAGATGAAGCTAAAAAGAGAAAAGCTGATGGTAAGAGTAGGAAAATGATGATGTGTTCGAGTCAGACGCGTAAATTTTAACCCCTACTCGGCACTCAGTAGTTTACTGGGCTTGGACAAATTACTCCCAGCGCCTCAATCTGCTCATCTGTAAAACTGGGCTAAAATAATTCCCTAATTCGAGTTGATCTGCACAACCAATAAAATAATGTCACATACTCAGGTTAATTTTAGGTTCGCTAACATCGTGAAGAAAAAGTAGCTCAGCGCCCAGTTACAGTTGCAGGCGCTTCATGCAACCTTCATGCAACCCCGCGCGCTGGGTCCCGGGTCCACTTGCTGGAGGAAAAGCGGAGGCCCGCACCCCGCAGCACCTCTCCAAGCTCCGCAGCCAGGGGCTGCGCAGCCGGCACGGGAACCCGGCTCCACAGGCCGGCTCCGCGGAGCGGGGCTCGCCCTCGCAGTCCGTCCCCGAAGTCCTTGGGCGGCCCGCGCCCCGCGCCTCTCGGCCTCCGTACCCTCGGTCGCCCTCCCGAGCCCTGGGGCCCCGCTCCTACCTGTGCACACACCACGACTCGAGGTGGCGCAGTGCGCGCTTATACAGCCGCAGCACCTTCTGCTGGTGGGTCAGGTAGGCCGCCGGCGCGGAGAAAGCCATAGCCCCCCGCTCACCTTCAGCGGCCGCGGGGGCTGCCGGGAACCCGGAAGTCTGCGTCGGGGCGGGGCTAACACCGGAAGGGCGGGGCTAATACCGGAAGGGCGGGTCGACCGCGGCCACGTCCGCTTCCGCCAGGGAGGAGCCGGCGCTGCAGCCATGAGTCGCTACAAGTTCGTCGGTAAGAGGGTTATTGTCGGCCCTTGGGCCTTTCGCACTCGTAACAGGCGCCTCTCGCCACGGCCAGAAGGCCCCGGGCTGGTAGCCCTCCGACTGTTGGAGGGCTTAAAGAGCAGTCAGTGGAAGAGGGTGTAGGGCGGATGGTGGAGGAGCCGGTTCTTGATCTGGTGCTGCTGTCACGTGTCCTGTATTTGGGAGCATTTGGGAGCTGCACCGTGGTGCGCCGGTTTGTGTTGTATTCAGTTAAAAAAGGCATCTCGGGGTATAACTTCGTGTAGCGCTCTCGAGGCTTCGGGTGCGGTTGGCAGCACTGCAAAAAGAAAAGCGACTTCCAAAAGATTTGTCGCTGTATTCCTTTTGGTCTGTGCACCCCAGCTCAGCCTCGCCCTCTCCGTGGTTGAGGGGTGAGGGGACCCCCAGTCATCACTGTTACTCAGCGCTGATGACCTCGCCTCCGAGCACAGCGCCTACAGGGCTGGTGCCAGCGCTCCTGGCGTCGCCAGCTGCTGGATAAACGAGACGTCGCCGGGAGTAGAGAGAAAAACCACTTCTGTTACTTGGCAGCTGCAGCGCTCCCTCCAGCTGCAGGAAGAATAAATACAGCAGGGTTCCACGGGGCGTGAGCTTTCATCATTAGGCACTTAGGAAAAGCAAGAGTCTCAGGTTCACCCAGAATGGAGCGGAGCTTTACTGAAGGCTTCTCACGGGAGCGTTCACTACGTCGCGGAGTGCCAGCCTCTTGGGCTGTGACGTGCAGCAGTGTGTGAAGCTTGATCCTTGTCGTGGTGGGATTTCCAGCTACGTAAAGGTGGGATGCGGCAGTGATCACGTCTCTGTCTTCCAGGGTGATCCTGCTAGGTATTGTGTGGGTGTAGGGAGGATGGAAGTTGTTTCACATCTTGAACCAGTGTGATGGGAGAGCTGGGCACAGTACCTAGCAGCCGAGTGTTCTAGGCAAGTTCTGGCAAATGAATAAAGATGACTCCGGGTTTGAATGAATCCTGAACGTGAAATGCAAGCATGACTGGCAGGAGTAGTGAGCGAGCCACGTAGGTCCGTGTGAGGTTCGTAAAGGGCATCCAGGCAAAGACATCATCCAGGCTCTTGTAAATGTAGTCAAGCACTTGAGTGTGTAAAGTTCAAAACTTAACGTGAGTCTTATTTTAACCAGTGTGTTTTGCTAAAGACATTTTGTCACATTCTGTGGAACCACTTGTAATGCAGTTCTCAGACTGGAGAAATAAGCCCCTACGTGCAGTCACGGCAAATGGCGGGGGACACCGTGAGAGCCATAAAAGAGGTTTAGCCTTGCCGTGAGAGCCTGGTGTGACGGAGGGGCCTCAGGAGGCTGGAAGACATTTTCTAGGATGTGATGTCTCTGTGTCTCCATCTTAATCTGTGACCTGATTGGTAGCAGAGAAGAACAGTCGTGGAACATGCCACAAAGGCCACAGCAGAAAGGCATGTTTGTGGTACGGAGCTAATTCTCTGCCTGCGTCGTGGCTCTTTAAATGTGTTCTCCATACAGGCTCCAGAGTAGTCTATCAAAGATCAATTAAATATTTCTTTTGCTGCAGATTTTTTATTTACTCAAGATAGTTGAATTATTTTACCAGCATGTAAAGCCTTTTTACTGCTGTCTGATCCTGCCCGCATTTCCGGCTTCATTTGTCTTTGCCATATAAACACTTGGGTATCGTTTCTTTCCTCTGGCAAGGTGTTAAGAGGGCTAGTATGGGCCAGAATGTTTTCTTTGCCTCTTTTGTCCTTCTGGCTATCCTGTGCCACGTTATTTATAATTAAATGTCAGTCTGTGTGCTTTTCTCACTAAACTGTCAGACAGGTACTGGCATTTATTTGCCAGGGAATTAATACAGTGATTGTTCAATAGAAGTAGGAATGGGCAAAAGCATACGTGTGGCCTTAGTGTTGAGGTGGTAAGAAGACCGCTAAGTCAGAAGCAGGTGAAACAGAAAAGGAGGTAACTATTGGAAGAGCTAATCGGGGTGATTTTTTTTCTTTATGGTCTTCAGTTCCATTCTCCTGATATAATTATATTAAAAGTTTAAATTATAGCCTTTCCTAATTTAGACAAATATACACATGTGGATACAAACACCAGGGTTTCTTGTTTTCTTTTTAAAAACAAAAATGGAGTCATACAGCACTCTGTTATATAACTTGCTCTGATTTTTGTTTTTTTGGGGTTTTTTTTGCGGAACCGGGGATTGAACTCAGGCCCTTGCACTTGCCAGGGAAGTGCTTATTCTACTGAGCCATCTCCCGGCCCCTAAAGAGTTGGGATAAGGGCGCGAAGCGCTGACCTTGCGCTCTAGAGCCCGCCGCACAGACCGCTGCACTAGGTCGCCGACGTGTTTTGTTTTTTGAGACAGGGTCTGTCTATAGTTCCGGCTGGCCTTGAACCTAGGTTGGCCTCAAACTCATCTTCCTGCCTCATCCTCCAAGGGCTGGGATTACAGACCTGTGCCGTCACACCTGGCACTTGCTCTGATATTTAACCTTCTTTGTCATTTAAAACTCTGTGAACCGTGGCACTGATGTTTCAGCCTGTTAGGGAGCCATGAGAAGTACCATGTCAGTCCTGTGGAGAACTGGTCCATGAGCAAGTATTACATACAACAGTGTGTGCAAAATGAAACCGGTGTTACTGAATGCAGCCACACATTTTAGTTTAGAGCAGTTGACTCTGCCCGGGTTATAATGCTTCTCCATTTCCCTCTTATAATTCTATGACACACTGCTTCCCTTTATACTACTATATGGAGAGGAGAATGGGAATAAAACCATTTTCTGCAAAGTTTCTACTAAAAGTATATACCTGGGGTGCAAGCTTTTCACACACGGGCCTTTGAGAGACCTGAGGTGCAGGCTGTAGCATGAGGCCTACTTTTCCTTGCACCCTGCATGTGCTGTGGTGTGCCTCTGCGTCCAGCCTGTAGAGGGGCAGTACAGCCCCACTCTAATTCTTCGGTCCTGTGAGTAGCTACAGTCTCTAGGCTTTGCTTGTGTTCTGAACATGGAGCTGCAAAAGCCTTGCTCTTAGATCTCAGTAGGAGGAAATCTCTGCAGGAGGAAGTTAGACTCGGTCTCACACTTCATGGCCTGAAACATTTGAATGCTAGGGCATGATTATCTGTCCTAATTCCAGTATTCTGAAAAAAGTGTTCGTCTGCTCCCGGGAGTTCTGACCCAGTTACAAGTGTGCTGCAAAAATAACAAAAGACCTAAGTTAGTTCTGGGGACATAGCTCAGGGTAGAGCCCTTGCCTAGCGCAAGACTCGGGGTTCCATCTGAACACTCCTGGGATGGAGACGGGGCACAGGTTTTTGATATCTTTTCACAATAATTACTGTCGGAGCATAAAATTACAACAAATTCAGTTACTGCTCTTTTATTCACAGTTCATGAATGAGGGCACCCTCCATTCACAGAATGGACTTAGAACTCCCACTTGGGGGAAGCCAAGTACAGTGGGTTTTGTAAGAGGAAAAAGAAATTGGTTAACAGGTCACTTTTTTGGTAAGGGAAGACCTCTGTTAGTCTGACTCACAGAGAGATTGGAATCTTGTTTTTAAGTGAAGCTGATCTGTTTAGAGATCTGCATCTTTAAAGTTTCATATTCATTATGAAGCATTTAGCAGGAATGATTATTTTGGTTTGGTGTGGTTTGGGCCTAGTGTAGTAGCCTCTCATAATTTTTGTTTAATAGTACTTTTCCCAAAAAATCCTTTTTATTGTTACATGAATGACATTAAAAAGTTTAATATCCTGTAGGGGAAGAATAGGTTCACCCTCCCCTTAGTTCTTAGGTGGGTTCTTTGGTTGGGTCTAGAAATCAAATCAGTAAAAGGTTGATTAACAGGAGAAAAGCATACAACTTTTATTAAAATGTGCTTGTTCACAGGAATCCTCATAAGCAAGTAAAGTTCAGAGAAGTTACTGAAGCAAGATGCTTTTATACTTTTAGACAAATACCCATTTTAGAGCTGGGCTGGGTGATGCAGTCCTGTAATAATCCCAACATGGGGGAAGCAGAGGCAGGAGGATCATGGCAAGTTCAGAGCCAGCCTGGCTGCGTAGCGAGACTATACAGTACAGTACACGTGGGCCGGGGAGACGGCTCAGTGGAATAAGCGCTTCTCTGGCAAGTGCAAGGGCCTGAGTTCAATCCCTGGTTCCGCAAAAAAATAAACACAGTACACACAAGAAAAAGAATAGTACATTTATTAAGAAATGTCGGAAAAAGAACGAATCTTCGAATTAGCGTAGTAAGATTTAAGGATGTCACAGAGAGATGGGGGAGGATAAAGGGTAGCAGAAGGATAAGGGTTACTGCACAAGTCTGACTTCCTCAGGTTCACTCTAGCTGCGGTTACCAGTGTCTGATCATGACGACCGTTTTCCAACCTTGGTACACAGGCAGGTATAATTCCCCTGAAAAATCCTGACAGCTTACTGTACATAGGAAAACACAGACTAAATGGCCCTTTCTGAAATTACAGTTTCTCAATGATTTCAGCTGGAAAGAAGCAGTTGACAAGCTGGCGTGTTTTGAGGTGGCATATCCTCAACTCCTTCAAGTCTGTCAAGAGTTTTCCCCTTTTGGAAGGTCCCCGCACCATCCGCCACCCATCCCCACAAAGCAGTGCTGTGAATCCAGAGGGCCCTGCCTGGCACGCGGCACACCTGGCCTGTCTGCCTCTCCTGGCATCATCTCCATTCTCTTCCAAGAACCAGACTTAGTGGAAGGTGGCACCTGGTGATTAGCCTAAGGATGTCTTTAGATCAATTTATCCCCTGTTTCTTTCTTTCTCACAGGTAGAATTTGTATATATTCTATTGCCCAACTGGGTGTCATTTACAAACTCACTCTAAAAAAACACTTTTAGCTGCAGCTGTGATGTGCAGAATCTACTGTATTGACTCTGATTGTGTTACATAATACAAACACACAAACAGAAAAATATGGGCTGGGGAGAT